ACAGGAGCTGGAGGAATTGGTCAAGAGTGTCTGCAGGCAGGCAGGATTGATCAAGAGAGTCTGTGGAGCGGGGTGAGATTGGGCAGTTGTTTTTTTTGAGGGAAAGGGGGAGATTAGTTAAAGTTTCTGCAGGAGTGGAGGGGATTGGTTAAACTTTCTGCTGGAGCAAACAGGATTGGTCAAGCCTGTTTGCAGGAGTGGGTGGGATCATTCAAACTTTCTGCAGGACCATGTGGGATTGGTCAAAATTCCTTTGGGAAATGACAGGAGTGGGATTAATAAACAGTCCTGCTCACACCTCTACTTCAAAAATATGTAGTCGATTGTGGTTTACAGCAGATGCATTGATGATTCAGTTTGAGATTTCGGCCGGAGTGTCCCTTTAACCACTGAGCTCCACCACCCCTGTGCCCTACAGACGTAAATGACTGACTACTATTATGAGTCATTGTCTGAAATATAGAGCTTTTTCAGCTACAAAACACAAAATGTTTTTAGTACAATTCCAAATATTATTGTGAACAGTATGCTTTTTTGTATTCTGTGTGCAGTTGTGGTGAAGTAGGACCCGAACAGAAGCACTGTGTGTCAAACACACAGCAGTTTCCTGGAATAAGAGAAATCAACATGGGGATTTTCTGTTTTATAACCCCAAAGTTTCACTATCGGTGCAAAAGACAGAGTTTACATTTCCCCTTTTTTTTCTGAGAGCAGAATCGATTTTTAGCTGAAATTATAACCGAAAAATTTTCCCCATATGCATATATGCAATTATTCACCATACCATTCTGTCTGATCTCAGATCTTTTTGTAGTTCCTTTAATACTGAATACAATTTGCATATCAACATTTAAACTTGTTTAAATGTTTTACAGCAGGTGCAAAAAAAAAAAAAAAAAAATAGCTAAACATGAATAACAATAAAACTAAAAAAAAGGAGCAAGTGGCTGTTACACTATATTCACACACTAATATTCTGTGTGCACTTTATTCTCACTTCTGCAAGTTGTTTTTGCGTCACGAGGAAGCTACGAAGTCAATGTCCTCTGCATGGGGTCATGCTGAATTTTAGCACAATATGAACTTTATTCAGAAAAAGGAAGTTAGAAATGTCTTGATGGAAAAAATATCACCACACTTCTGCAAAAGCTGAGCGGAACTGCAGACCAGCCTTGTCCTGGTGTCTGGGGACAGGAGCTGGAGATGGCTCAATTTCACCCCTAAATTCTACATTTAAGAGGTGGAATCAGAAATATGAACCCTCGGGAGTGAAATGGACCCGGGGATGAGATGAAATGATTGAAGAAGAAGGCTGTAAATCTAATCTCTCTTGTGCATTCTAAGGCGTTACACAACCACACTGTATTATTCAGCTTCACTTCTCTCAAAAATGTCCACCGACTTTCTCAGAAATGTTTCAGGCTGATGCGCAGCTGCTAAAGCACCTTGTGTCATATGTCATGACTTCAGCATAGGATGGAAATGTGTTAATCTGAACAGTCAAAGGAAAACTCAGCATTGTGGGTAATACCAACTCCTGAATCGAGTCACTCCAAAACACATGTGACGTCTAAACCTGTGTGTGTGTGATTAATCTTTCAACGGACATCAATATCAGATTCCTGTATGGCCTCCAGATTCTAAAATTATATATGTTTGCTAATCTTGGAGAGTTTTTTTTTTTATAATGACTGTAACTGTGTTTAATTATTTAGCCCATTCATGTACCACATACTTTTTATACTTTTATTTTTTCCATGTTTAGCATGTTTTACAATATGCTTACATTGTAAAATGTCTAAAGATGTTATATACTGTAGATCGGTCTTATTAATAATATTAGTACTGACATTAGCATTCAAACTTCCCTTGCACCAAACATAGTCAAAATTTACATATTTAATCATTTCGTAGCAGAACAGTTCAGGCAACAGACATCCAAAATCTAAATATAACCGAACATAATCAGGCATTATTGCTTTATTTTAAAAGCCACGGATTTGTCCGTTTAGATTTCAGGATTAAATGTCAATGATAAATGAAGCATAATAAACACTGTTTGTCGTGTACCACCTCTTTGGAGCATAAAACCAAAAATAAAACCTGTAATCCACTTCCCTGTTTTTATGTTTGAAGGAAGAAATGGTTAGTTATATGGAATGTATTACATTTTAGATTAAAGAGGAACAAAAACAGTCATGGTTTCTTTTGATCAGCTTTAGTGATAATGAACCATGTTCCACTGATATTAATGTGTAGTATCTGTACACAAAATGATCGACTTGTCGGTTAAAATCTTAGATATATTTCTTATATAGATATTAAATATATTTAAGAAATCATGCTCACTGTTCCCAGGAACGTGAGTCAGATGAAGATTTCAGTGCGTTGAGCGGGATGACGAGATTTCTGGTTAACTCTTTAATGTCTTTCTGCATCTGGACTGTTTTTTACCTTTATTCTCTATTTCTCTCTCTCTTTTTCTCTGCCTGAGATGAATAAAAGGGGAATTTTGTCTCCTCTGCTTTCACACACACGTCTTTGAGGCCCCGAGTCCTTTGCTGTTCCACTCAGTGACTCACTCGCACGTATTTACAATTTCTGAACTCCCTCCGTTACCCCACTTTAACTGCCTACTTGAGTGCGAATGTGGAACTCCAGAATCGACTCAGCAGCTACACAACAGAGTTAAAATTCACCTTCTTACATACTGTGACTTTCCTACTTTCTAAACAGCATCAAGATCATCAGCTGCTGCTTTACTGAACATCCACAGACCTATTGGAAAAGCTGAGGAACAATTTTTACGCTCCAAAAAATTTGGAACTTGATCGAAACTGATTTGAAAGTACATGTATTTTTCGGTAATAATTATTATAATAATTATACGTATACCGTAAAACAATTTGAGCTACATTGCTAAATGTTCCTAAAGGTGCTAATAAAGTATATTTTTATTATCACTAATCTTATGGTGGGTAATATAGTCAGCTCCAGAATTGTGGTTCATTCTCTTAATCTCGCAATGAATATAGAAATAAAAAAATGGCACCCCTGCAACATCCGTTTGCCAAAACCAGTTCTTTACCCAGGGCGCCAATACTTTTGGAGCTGACTGCATTGTACCACATTTGAAGACTGCTGACGTTTTTTTCCATTGCTTGTCACTCGGTATGCTCGAGGGTGTGACACTGGCTGGAAAGCAAAGAGGGGAAGTACATTAGTCTCTTGTGCATTAGTGTTTTTACTGAAATGATGACCACATGATGGTTATGATTCGTTACCACTGAGTCAAATGTCTCTCTGTGCCTCGATCAAAAGTGTTCACTGATGGAGACGAGAGCATTCCCTCATCTGGCACACGCTTTTACTCCAAAGTCAAGTGAATCCAATCCAAGCATGCAGCTGAATATTTAAGGGTTAATGGCTAAACGCAAAAAAAAAAGTGATTGGCCCCAAAAATCATGGTGATAATGATTGCAAAAATAAAGGCAACCAAATCCAAAACGTAATCCAGGAAGGAACATTGAGAGGAACCTGATTCAAAAGGGAACCCATCCTCTTCTGTATGACACCTGATACTAAGTATGTTTTATAGTTGTGCATCGCTGGTACCACTAATTATTTAAGTATGTGACATCAAAGAGCAATTTTACTTAGTAACAGGCTGCTTAACAACCGTTATTTTTACGTCTTCACACAGATGTGCACGGTTTCATTGTGCACTCAAATTGTCCTGCCTCCTATTCATATCCATAATATTGAATATGATAATTCAGAATTCTTAATCCTGCTCAGAGGTCTATGGGTGCGAGTGTGGTCTGAATATTGCAACCAAACAGATTGTTTGATGTGGTGTTGAGCGGCATCCATGTTCAAAGCTACACGCTGAAATCTGTGCAGAAAAAGATGGAGGAAGACGTAATAATAGCAGGTTATATGAGGTGTTCCTGTACCCTTCACCGTTGTGCGTGAGAACAGAACAAAACTAAACACTGTCATTCTGGACAGTTACACTCACCGAACACTTTACTAATACTGGGAAGGGCCTACCTTTTCTCTCAAAACAGCTTCAATTCTTCATGCCATGGATTTCACAAGATGCTGTCCAATAAGTTGGACTGGTCACTTCACACAGATGTACAATATAAAAAAGGGCAGAGACGGCTTTTCCTCCTAAGACGGCTTAGGTCCTTCGACATCTGCAGGAAGATGCTACATATGTTTTACCGAACTACAGTAGCAAGTGTGCTGTTTTATGCTGCAGTCTGCTGGGGAGGCAGCATAAAGCAGAAGGATGCAAGGCGGGTGGACAAACTGGTGCAAAAAGCTTCTTCAGTGACTGGAATGAGGTTTGAATCACTGGAGGCCGTGGTGGAGAGATGCACCCAGAAAAAGCTAGAGGCCATTCTGGAATACCCTGACCATCTCCTACACAACACCCTGATGGACCAGAGAAGCAGCTGCAGTGGATGACTCACCTCACTGCGCTGCAGGACTGAACGATACAGGAGATCCTTCATCCCCACTGCCATCAGGCTCTTTACAACACCTTAGCCAATGGCAGATGACTAATCACTACTCTCATTACTTTACTACTTCACTACTTCACTACTCTCACTGATTTCTACTACTCTCACTACTTTTCACTACTCTTACTACTTTCTTTCTTACTTATCTACAAGACTACCTGAATTTCCCTTCGGGGATTAATAAAGTTTATCTTATCTTATCTCATCTTATCTTATATGGTCCATGTTGACATGATTACATCACACAATTCCTGCAGATGTTTCAGGTGCACTTTCAAGTTGCAAATATCCCATTCTACCACATCCCAAAGGTGTTCTATTAGATTCAGATCTGGTGACTGGGAAGGCCACTGAGGAACCCTGATGAACTGAAGAACTCTGAAGAACTCATTGTCATGTTCATGAAACCAGTTTGAGACGACTTTTGCTTTGTGATGTGGTGCATTATCATGCTGGAATGATAAGCCATTAGTGGTAGCTCAGTGGTTAAGATGTTGGACTTCCGCTCGGAAGGTTGAGAGTTCGAATCCCAGCACCACCAAGCTGCCACTGCTGGGCCCTTGAGCAAGGCTCTTAACCCTCAACTGCTCACTTGTATAAATGAGATAATTGTAAGTCGCTCTGGATAAGGGCGTCTGCCAAATGACATAAATGTAAATGTAAATTAGGAGATGGGTAAATTGTGGTCATGAAGGGATGCACATGGTCAGCAACAATACTCAAATAGGCTGTGGCATTCGAGCCATGATTGATTGTATTAATGGGCCCAAAGTGTGCCAAGAAAACATTACACCACCTTGGACTCTTGACACAAGGCAGTTTGGGTCTGTGGATTCATGCAGTTGGCGCCAAATTCTGACCCTATCATCTGTGTACCTCAGCAGATTCATCAGACCAGGCTACGTTTTTCAGTCTTCAGCTTGAGCCTGAGCCCATCTGCCTCAAGGTTCGACATGTTGTGCATTCTGAGATACATGAGGTGCATTTTCTGCTCACCACAATTGTACAGAGTGGTTATCTGAGTTACTGTAGCCTTTCTGTCAGCTCGAACCGTCTGGCCATTCTCTGTTGATCTCTCTCATCACCAAGGCATTTCCGTCTGCAGAACTGCTGCTCAATGGATGTTTTTCTTTATCGCACCATTCTGAGTAAACTCTAGAGACTGTTGCGTGTGAAAATCCCTGGAGATCAGCAGTTATAGAAATACTCAAACCAGCCCATCTGGCACCACCAATAAGCCACTATTAAAATCAGTGAGATCACATTTTTTTCCCCATTCTGATGGTTGTAGTGAACATTAACCAAAGCTACTGGCCCGAAGCATCTGCATGATTTTATGCATGAGTAGGTTTTCATGTGTTCCTAATAAAGTACTCAGTGAGTGTATATTTGTTTGCATTTTTTCACGTCCATGACTATCACTGTGACGTAGCCATGCAGTCAGAACCCAGCTACGAGTGGGAAAAAGTCACTGAGCAGGAAAATACGTTTGTCTTTTAAGTGACTATTACTCAACCAACTGATTAATATGGAACATGAGCTAGCCAAGCAAAAAGGTCAGAACACTTTTATAATCATCAGATGTTGCCTTTATCGGTCTTTACAGGATTTGGAACCCGGACTGAACCTGTCCCAAATCAGGAAAAGTTGATTCATGTGTTATTCTATAGCGATTTATGCATTAGCATTGGGTCGTTACTCATTTTCTATCATTAGATAGACCCCCAGAAAACAATAAGAATTGCACAGATGAGTGTGGGTGGTGCTGATGATTAGAAGCATGGGGAAACTGATCTGTTCTGTAGGTGGTCTCAGATGAGAATGAGACTCATTTACAAATATTGGTTTCAAAATGACTTATCAAGTGTGGTAGAAGGCAATTCACACATACAGTACAGCTGTGCAGTTAATGGTTAAGGGTTTTGCCCAGCAGCCTAATAATCTCTGGTTTGAACTCACAACCTGCTGGTCCCTCCTACAGAACATCTGAGCTTCTCCTGTGAGAAAAAAATGGAGTTGTTGCCTTTCTTGTCGTGGAGAATATAAATTACACGGCTCTCACAAGGCTCTCACACAGCTCTTACACAGCTCTTACACAGCTCTTACACAGCTCTTACACGGCTCTCGGCACTGTTAATCTGATATGCTCCACACACACGCACACACAAACACGCACATGGGGCCCTGCGATATTCTGAAAGCATGGTGTGATCTCAGACTGAGTAAGACCCGCTACTGAATCTGCCAGACTGAAACCTCCCTAATTTCCATTCCACTAATATCGCTTCAGACAATATCACATGTGTCAGATAATTGGGGGGTGGGTGTGGTGATGGTGGTGATGGCGGTTGGGGGGGGGGATTGGGGGGGGGGGGGGGGAGGGAGTCACAAAATTAACATGGTAATATACCAGTGGAGATTTTAAAAGTGATGAACATCATGGAAAATATTCTAGAAGTTTCCTTAACCATTTCTTTCTTTTACACTCTTATCAAAATAAGAAAAAAAACCAAACCTTGATACACTGATTGTAAATACAGCTAATTGTCTCATACTTGTGGTTTGAACACAGGAAATCTACTCTGGATGGTGGCGGAGGAGGTACATTTTAAAGGGTTGCTGAAGGGTCATTTTGTTAACTCTTTTTTTTGCTAGCTGTACACCTAACCATCAGATTTATTCCTCCTTTGCTGTTATAATAAACTCCACTCTTCTGGGAAGGCTTTCCACTAGATTTTGGGGCGTGGCTGTGGGGATTTGTGTTCATTCAGCTACAAGAGCATTAGTGAGGTCAGGCACTGATGTTGGGATGTCGAGGAGGTCTGGGGTGCAGTCAGTGTTCCAGTTCATCCCAAAGGTGTTCAGTGGGGTTGAGGTCAGGGCTCTGTGCAGGACACTCGAGTTCTTCCACTCCAACCTTCACACACCATGTCTTCATGGAGCTCGCTTTGTGCACAACGACGTCTAAAGACTTACCTGTTCCTAAACTACTTAAATTTAAAAAAAAAAAAAACAGAAAGAAACTTTGTATTGTCTGAGTGCTTGTTACTATATTACCTCCTTAACAGAGTTTTTGAACTGATGGTATTCTTAGTTTGTGAACTAGTGAACCAGTATCAGAATGTATTTATTGATAGAGACTTCAAAGCGCCTTTTTTTTACGTCGCTCTGGATGAGGGCGTCTGCCAAATGTCGTAAATGTAAATGTAAAATGTAAATGCATTGTCATGCTGGAACAGGTTTGAGTTCCAGTGAAGGGAAATTGTAATGCTACAGCATACAAAGCCATTCTACACAATTGTGTGTTTTAAACTTTGTGGAAACAGTTTGGTGAAGAACCAAACATGGGTGTAATGGTCAGGTGTCCACATATTTTTGGCTGTATAGTGTATGTTATTGAAAATGGAGGATATAATTTTGATCATGCTGATTTAGCCAGCTACATGAAGTAACAGTGCATAGCTACTTTAGCTCGGTTTTCAGTTTGACTGTTTAATGTGTTTGATCTGTGTCTGTCATCTGATTTGTGTGGAATATATAATGAATTTCCCTACTGCACTACCAATAATAAGTTAACAACAATTTGTTTTAATTAATCATGTTGTTATTTCTAAGAAAAAAAAAAAAAAAAAAAAGGCTCATTACAGTATGCTGAGATCATGAGAAAATCCTGGGATTATCTCATTTGTTGTCTAATGATAATGACACAAATAACTGTCATGTCATGAGAAATGACATAAAAATAAATTCATTTTTACAGGAAATGTGAGAAAAGAAATGATTTGTTTTTTTTTTTTAATCCAGGGCTTTCATAAAAAGTCATTTTTTCCCATCCATCTTTTCCCCTCACCAGTATTTCCATAACACTGTGTTATGATTGGCTAATAGCTCTTAATCACAATGACTGATTACTCACTGTGAAGATTCCCCAATGATTGTATCAGTTTTCCCTTCACCTCTTTTATGCTAATCTTTGGGAAAAAAAAGAGAATTAAAAAGCCACATATCTGGAAAAGCACCTCGATATGATGTATAAACATTTTTACGTCTGGCTGAGATGGAAACCAGAGCCTAAAGCATAGGTACGATTATTAAAAAAATCAATTTTATCCTATCTTTTTTAGGTTTTAGATTCAGAGTTATACAGGAAGTTCACAGGAAACTGTGATACTTGTCTGTGTGTTAATTGTTCACACCTTTTCACTTATCCCCTCAACACACACTATAGGTGTGTGTGTAGGTGTGAGACTGTGTATTGAAGGGGCTTACAGCAGCGGTAATACCACCTCTCAGGTTCCCAATAATGAAGAAAGGCGGATGTTTTGTCTAATATTTTTTACCAGAGAAACTCATCTTGGTGTGCCTGTCCTCTGGGCTGATGTCTCTGTTATTCGTTCTGACATTTAAAGGTTAAACTCGGTTAAATGTCAGGGACTATCCGGGCAGGTGGAAGACACAGAGAGAAAGAGAGATAGAAACAGATAGAGAGAGAGGCCCCTCCATAACACAGATCCGAAACTTTCAGCAGCCAAACCGGGTGCAGTACAAACCCAGCAAGCACAGAGCATCGTCATAACGGCTCGCAGATTCAAAACAAAGGCAGCTGTTAATATTTTTCTCTATAATCAGGATGGGGCTTTCCATTTTTCTTTTTTTTTTTTAAACACCGTGTTCAAAATAGTGCGATATTCTGTGTCGTTCATTTAAAAATTTTGTAGCTTTGAGTTTAAATTTGGTACAGTATTCATCCGGAAATTAATTGTAATTTTTTGTAATAAATAAAAGTACATTATAATTCTATTACAGCGATCTGCTCTAATGCAAAAAAAATTTAAAAAGAACTATTTTGATTTGCACAAGAACAAACTGACATAAAAATTATTACACTTAAGAATAATGTGCACTTGCAGACAATACATAAGGCTGGAACTTAACAATCATTTCATGACTTGATTATCAAACTTACTTTCAGAGTTGTTGTTGTTGTTGAGGTAATATGTGCTCAGGGGAAATTCTGACGAGAACTTTCACCTGTGCCTCTTTAGACCCGCATACTCGTCTCTGGATCTGGGCAATCCCCCATTCTCCATCATTTCCAAGGAAACAAAAAAAGTACACAAAAACACAGATAAAACCTGATTACTGACAGATCAATACATGAATGCATAATTAAGATTGCTGTCTTACGGTTAATGGACGTGCAGGAATTTACGTATTTTCTAAAAACAGTCATGAAAAAGACAAAAAAAACATGGTAAAAAAATTTAAATAAACCAAATGAATTTTCTAGAATTTGTTTCATATTTTATACATTTATGTACCCAAACCCTTTTTGTAATTAATATAACTAATAACATTATATTTTTCCAATTTTAAATTATTTTATTATTTAATGTTTTTAATACAATTTAAAAGCAGAGTAGGATGTAATTATTTATAGCTGTAATTAGTCATTAATGTAAAACATTTGTCATTAACATTTAACATAAATGGAAAATGAAATATAAGACATAAATCTAGAGAAACAATAGTCATTAAGGTTT